AAAGATAATGTAGAAAAAAGGATGCCTCAAAATATTAGTGAATTAACCAAATTTATGGTTGAAGAATGGGATGCAATCCCTCAGTTAACGGTGAATAATTTAGTAATGTCCATGAAAACCAGATGTGAAATAGTTTTGGAGAAAAACGGTGATAGAATATTGTATTGAAATTTTTTTGTCTAATAAAGGAATTGATCGGCTTTTAAACCAATATAATTCATCTAAATCGGATGTGTAGATTTTAAGTTATGCCATTTTTTGTCACCGCTATTTTTTTCGTTACACACTGTATCATTAAAAAAAGATGCAGCATCTATATGTTATCAAAAAAATTTTCTCTAAAAGAAGATCTGCTCTTATAATTATTATTATCCTTTAAATGTTTTGATCTTCTTTTAATTACTTCAGTAAACTCGTTATATTTTCCAAATGTATGTATGCACAAAAAATTATATCTTTATTAAAGTTAAAAAAAAAAATATCACTTCTTTATTTACTTAATAATGAAATTTATATCACAATAAACTAAACTTCATATAATATTCTAATTAAAATCTTTTATTTATCTTATTTTTTTTATAATTTCCTATGTAGTAACTTACTGTTTAATTATAATAAATATCAATTCAAAATTTTAAATTATGTACTTAAAAAATTATTTATTAATTATCAAATAAGGTTTTGTATTATTTTTTTAAATTACTAATAGTAGATTTTTTTTTATATTTATAAATCCTAGTAATCTTTTATATCTTTTTTTGTCATGCTTAATATTATTTTCATAAATATCTTTTTATTTATTTTATTCAAATATCATGTATTAATTAACACTCTATAAAACTTTTAAAAATGAAACTTCAACATATAGACTTTTGATGATTATCATCATCTACAATTCATCTATTAATTTTAAAATAAAACAATAAAATGTAAATATTGATATGATAAGTAATAAACTTAATTAGTATTTGTATAATAATCAGATAAATTTAATAAAAAAAGTAACATTATTTAATTAAAATTAGTTCAATACATATATTTATCAAAACGATATATTTAATCATTTTTTAGTTTATTTATATTATATATGATCTATATTATAGTTGTCGTGTACAAGTAAAAAAGCAGAACTTAAATGGGAATTAGGAGAAGTAAAATGAGAAAAAAATTTATGTGAACCATCAGTATAAAAGGTGAGTATATTCTCGTCTTTCAAACTAAATTTAAATTGATTAAGAAAAAGACAGGTCAATGAGACAGGTATTAAAGATTCAATGGTACAAAAGGAAAGAGAATTATTATGGATCACGTGATTGGGTATGACATTAGGTCTCATATCCAGATATCTTTGCGTTGCTTGATCAGACACTGTTTTGATATTTCTTTTTAACAAATAAAGCTTTTCTGAGTTGATCGATGTAAAATAATTGGTTTGTATGAGTTGAGGGAGATCTATGTCAACCAAATTACCACAAAAAGCCGTTGTGTAGCAATAAGAAAACAGTTTCATTAGAGGTCATTGTTGAAGGTACATCCATCACAGGCTGTTAATAAATTCTGTTTTTTTGAAGGAGATCTTGGGTCAGCAGTCAGATTGGACGGGACAAAGTGCTGGAAAAGAACCTTGTCAGAAAACAGCAGAGATTTATAAGATTTTCCAAAAATAGTTTGTTCAGGATATGGAAGATTATAATAATTTGATACTGGAGGGGTCCATAGAGTAACTCAGTCAGAAACTTTGTTGGACTCTAGAGGAGATGATGTTTTAAATTCTGAGGGTGTAAATGGTGTGATAATATATTGATTTTTAATTCTATTGGACTGTACAGGATTTATAAGAATAGTCTGT